TTTGGTCTCACTACTGCATCATACTCATGTTAATCCTGAAAAACAACCTGTGTCTCCTGATCCTTTGACTAATTATGCACATTTTGCTGGTAAAATACCTTCTATTTTTCATGCTAGTTGTGGTTCTTGTATTTGTCTAAATTCTAAACTTTATACTGATTACTGGATTATAGATTCTGGGGCAACAGATCACATGACCTCAAACAAGTCCTTCCTTTCGAATCTACATGTTTTATCAGTTTCATATCTCATTACTCTTCCTAATGGGTATAAGGTTAAGGTTACTTGTACAGGATCACTAGCTTTAACCTCATTTATCACTTTAACAAATGTCCTCTTTGTACCCAGCTTCAAATACAACTTACTCTCAGTGCATAAGTTGTGCTCTCACTTACAAGCTAATGTTCTTTTTACACCTGATTCCTTTCTTCTGCTGCAGGGCCTTTCTCAGAAGAGGCCACTGGCTCTTGGTAGACTATTTGAAGTTCTCTATGTACTGGACAACTCTATGCTTGAAAATTCTACCAGCCATCAACATACTTGTACTTTCACTCTTATTCCTACAATTGTAAATAACATGAGTGATTCTGTTTCATGTTCTGCACCTGTAAATACCATCAATAATTCTGCTTGTAATGCTGTTGGTTCAATAAATAAAGATGTTCAACTTTGGCACATAGACTTGGTCATATTCCATTTTCTAAGTTGCAAAAGATTCCCAGTTTATCTTTTCCCGGCTACACTAAACAACCTTTTATTTGTAATATTTGTCCAATGGCTAGACAACAACAACTATCTTTTCCTCACAGCTTTATTTCTTCCAAAGCTGTTTTTGATCTAGTTCATATTGATACTTAGGGTCCTTATCACACCCCAACATATTCTGGTCATAAGTACTTTCTCACAATGGTTGATGATTACAGCAGTGTTACTTGGACTCATATGTTGAGTTGCAAAAGTAATGCTTTCACCATTTTGAAAGCTTTTTTTTCTATGGTCGAAACACAGTTTGGTGCTATGGTTAAGATTCTGAGGTCTGACAATGCATTTGAGTGTCCAGTCTTGAAAATTCTGCCTTTCTGGCTTCAAAGGGAATTATTCACCGTACTTCTTGTCCTCACAGTCCACAAAAAAATGGAGTAGTCGAAAGGAAACCCAACCACCTTTTAGAGACAGCTAGGGCACTTTTGTTCCAATCTGGTTTGCCAACTTCTTTTTGGGGTGACTGTTTGCTTTGTGCCACTTACTTAGTGAACAGATTCCCTCTTTCTATTTTGCATGGTAAATCCCCTCATGAGCTTTTATTTGGATCTTCTCCCGCTTATTCTCACCTCAAAGCTTTTGGGTGTTTGTGCTATGTTACAACTCCTAAACCACTAAGGGATAAATTTCAGCCTCGGGCAACAACTTGTGTCTTTCTTGGCACCCATTTGGCAAGAAAGGTAATAAGGTGCTTGACCTTCACACTAAGAAAGTTTTTATTTTCAGAGATGTTGTGTTTCATGAAACAATTTTTCCTTACACTTCAGCCCATTCTTCTTCTTCTCCATCCTATTTTCCTTCTCTCCCTAACTCAATGCATATTGATATTGATGTAGGTGGAGTTTCTGATGTTAATGGTGGTAATGTACATGTTTCTGAAGGTACTTATGACTCTAACTCTTCCTCGCCTCCCATTTTTTCTTCTCCTCCTGCTTCCTCATGTCCTGTCACTTCTACTTCCTCATGTCCTGTCACTTCTAGTTCCTCCCCTGTCACTTCTTCCTCCTCTCCAATTCCTTTAAGAAGATCCAGTAGACCACATAATCCTCCTCCTCATTTGCAAGATTATGTGTGTACTGCTGCTTCTTCTTCTCCACTTTCTAAATTAACTAATACCTCCTCCTTCCCTAAGAATCTTTGCCTCAGTTCTCTGTCTTTACAGAATCAGTCTTTAGTAAAGAATCTGGACACTGTTCAGGAACCCACTAGTTTTCACCAGGTTATTTTACAAGAAGCTATGCTTAAAGAGTTTGAAGCTCTTGAAGCTAATCAAACCTGGACCATTGTGCCTTTGCCTCCTGGCAAGAAGCCGATTGGTAATAAGTGGGTCTATAAAATCAAGTATAGGGCGGATGGTAATATTGAGAGATTTAAAGCAAGGCTAGTGGCAAGGGGAGACACCCAACAAGAGGGTATTGATTACACTGATACTTTTTCCCCCGTGGTCAAGATGACCACCATTAGGAGTATTATTGTTGTAGCTGTTAAAAAGGGTTGGGACATGTTCCAACTCGACGTTAATAATGCCTTTTTACATGGGGATCTTCAGGAGGAGGTCTATATGAAAATACCCCAAGGCATGACTGTACCTGATCCTTCTATGGTTTGCAAACTTGGAAAATCCTTGTATGACCTCAAACAAGCATCTAGACAGTGGTATTCTAAGTTGCCGGATGCTTTGTGTTCTAGGGGTTACATTGTCTCCAGAAATGACTATTCTCTCTTTCTGAAGCATTCTTCTTCTTCTATTGTTATTGTAGCGGTTTATGTTGATGATGTTTTGGTAACTAGAAATGACATTACCGAGATAACTTCTCTAAAATCATTTTTGGATCAAAAGTTTCGTATCAAAGATTTGGGTATCTTTCATTACTTTCTTGGTCTAGAAGTTCTTAGAGAATCTGCTGGTGTTATCATTACACAACGTAAATTTGCTGTTGATATGTTAACTGAATTTGATTCTCATGATCTTTCTCCTGTTTCTGCTCCATTGCCTGTGCCTTGCAAGTTAACTTCTAATGCTGGGAATCCTTTGTCAATCCTCTTGTATATCGCAGGTTGGTTGGGAAGCTAAACTTCCTTACCAACACCAGGTCTGATTTATCTTACTCGGTTCAACTTCTCAGTCAGTTTATGCACTCACCTTGTGAGGGCCATTTCCAAGCTGCCTTGCATATACTCCGTTATGTTAAGGGGACTGTCGGGCAAGGCCTTTCATGTCTACTACTTCTGATTTCAAGTTGCAGGCTTTTTGTGACAGCGATTGGGCTGCCTGTCCTTTATCTCGGGGATCCATCAGTGGCTTTATTGTGCTGCTTGGTTCTAGCTTGCTCTGCTGGAAATCAAAGAAACAACCAACTGTCTCCTTGAGTTCTGCGGAAGCTGCATACTGTTCCATGCATCGCGTGGTGGCAGAATTGGCATGGCTTTCTCGTTTGTTGGCTAAGTTAATTTTTCCTTCCGTGGTACCAGTTTCTCTTTACTGTGGCAGCCAATCCGCCATTTACATTGTCAAGAACCCAGTTTTTCACGAAAGAAGAAAGCACATTGACTTGGATTGCCACTTTATTCGTGAAAAACTCCATGAGGGTCTTATTTCCCTCTCCTTTGTCCCCACGAAGTTGCAGCTGGCTGACATGCTTACGAAGCCTCTATCTGGTGCTCAGTTTAGTAAAATACTTGGCAAGTTGGGGGTTGGTCATCACCCGCCAACTTGAGGAGGGGTGTTGAGTTGTATTTGGGCCATTTTATTTATGGAATTTTTTCATTCCTATACATTATTTAAAACTTTATTACCTTTAATGTCCATATTTAGTTAATTACCCGGCATAAACAAGTTTTGTTTACAAAATATATACAATCCACCTTAAAAGACTCCCAATCCATTATTTGTGCCTTCAATCAAGGGATGTAGTTACACCCTTTTCCTTTATTTTCTCCTCTTCTCTTCCCTTATGTTTCCACTCATATGTTTTCTCACAAAGCATCTTCTGATTTTTCAAAATTTCCTCGGTCTATTGAAATAGTAGTTTTCATATAACATTAGCATTAACACAGCCCCAGTCTATTGACAAAATCAATATGATCTTAGACTGGAGTTGTGTTAATGCTAATGTTACATAAAAACTACTATTTCAATAGCACTTGAAGTCTTCAAATGCCAATTAATTTCGACAAGTATGGATACCCGACCGAAATGACTGGCTCGTGAACATAATTGCTGTCATGGGCGGCTTTCCAGCCATGCCCCATGACCCCTTGGGCGCGCCCCGTGGCGTCCTAGCAAGCCTCCCAATGCGTAGCACCACGGACGGCCCCGTGGTCTTGGCCGCGCCAAGTGACAAGCGCGCAGGTGCCCCTGTCGCCCCACCGATATCCCTCGCCAGCGCCAAGCCGCAGGCAGAAGCCAACAGCGCCGTGCGCGCAGACAACACCGCGCGCGCAGACCGTGATGCCAAAGACACTGCTGCTGACAACGGACCTGCTGCTGCCTTATAGAAAACTAAGTCATTTTCATTGTAAATATAGAGTAGTTTTATTTCATGTACTTCCATTATGTTTCTCTAGCTTAGTCAAGTCTAGTCTTGTAACTTTGGATTATTTTTTTTAAGTACTATTAGGGGGGATCAAGCAATCAAAACTTTCTAGCAAGCAAGCAATTCTCTGTACTGGTGTCTCTCCCCTTCGACACCGCGTTGCTTTTCTGTAATAGCTTTCATTAATGCAATCAAGCTTTCTTTCATTCTGAATTCTCATTTCTGTTCTCTCAATTGCTCTTGACATTGGTTTTCCCGTACGGCACTGACAATCTCGTCTAGCGTACGGAGGGGACCTCAGTTGGCGGACAGCAACTGCACTGACATCAGTTGCCTAGCCTTACGTCGCCCTTCCAAGGAATCTCAGGAAGGCGCCGCGTAACAGTAATAATGTCAAGAGAATTCAACCAAGCAATTAGTAATCCTTTTAATTGGAAAATTAGGCATAAAAGAAATATCCTCCGCGACGATGAAATTCTGCCGGAGGATAATTTTTTCTTTCTATGCCGAATTCGAAAATTATACCTTAATTACTATGTCACAAACGAAGGTCGTTGGAGATTTTACAATCGCACTCATTTTGACTATCATATAGTCAGACGGATCTGTTCTGACATAGAGGACCAAAACACATGGTCGTCCTGCAAAATACATCGAATGCTTAAATGTTTACATGTTCCTTTGATATATCAACTAGACATTATGCGAGACATAGTAAATAAGGCTTCGTCGATTCTCCAAGAAACTGAAAACCCAAGAAGAATCCCAATGGTAGTGGACATAGTCCGTCGTCGTCCTCAAGAAATTCCGAATTCTCACCAAAGTGATCATGGGGAAGCAGATGAGGGTGAGATCGCGTTGATAGAGCGAACTGTGAACCTACCCTCATTTGATCTAGAGACTGAGGTTGTGCCTATTCCTGCCTCGAGGCATGCAGTTAAAGCACTGGAGAAAGTGAGCGCGGAGAATCTAAATATGAAGGTGAATCTGGCTGAGAACTGTACTATATGTTTTGATAATTTGATTGCAGAAGGTGTTGTTGAAGTTACTCGCATGCCATGCAAACACCTTTTTCATGGAGATTGTATTGTTCAATGGCTTCAGAGAAATCATGTTCGTCCTTTGTGTCGCTTTAAGCTTCCTCTGGACAAAAATTAGGGCTTTTGTTTGTTTGATTTGGTTTCAGGTTGAATGTTTTTTTATTAATCAAATCCGTCTCTGTGGTGGCAGGCAGCTTTGATACTCCTAGTTTATTAGTACCTTCAAAAAAAAAAAAAAAAAATAGTAGAGATAAGGAGGGACAGTCCTTAATTTTCTTACTATTAGGTTTGTTGTTCTTGTTGTCGTTTTTTTTAATTGTTCTTGATGTTTTTTTTGTTGTTGTAAGGAAATTATCTGTATGACCAGATCCCTACCAATTTATTGAATATTAAAAATTATACACATGTAGGGGGAGGACTTGGGGTCTTACCTTCAATTTTCCTACATTCGAAATGATTTATCTCATTTGGAGCATTTATTTAAATTTGAAAGATGGAATGTACGTAGATCTGTTTTGAAGATTGTATTCACTCTTTTATATTTCTTTCTTTACCCTAAGTGTTCACTTTTTTTGTTTAAATGTTATCCAGAGATTGATGGAATATTCTAATAATTTATCATGTTTTTCTATATTATTTTTGTCACGACCCCAAAACCTATCCGATCGTGATGACGCCTATCATGGAACTAGGCCAGCCGACACATTCCAAAAATAATTCAACATTTCAAAATAAAGATGTTTTTAAGCTATTAATTGATAAAACTTCATAGCATAAGTCTAAATAACAAAGTGCGGAAACAAAACAAAAGCTCGACATCGGGGTGTCACAAGTCACGAGCATCTATTAAGGACTATCTGATAACAACTAAGACTATTAAATCTGGAAAACACAAATATAGTTCAGGAATATAGGAGGGAGAAGAGCAAGGTTGCGATCGCCATGCAGCTACCTTGCCAACTCTGAATATCCGTGTCACGAACCGGATTTCCCGCCCTCGGGAGTCGTGATGGCGCCTACTCGAAGAAGCTAGGCAAGCCAAATTTACTTACTGATTGACTAAACACATGTTCCTTTTTAGCATTAAGCAACATTAAATAAAAGTGACGGAATAAAAACATAAGCGGAAGTCTCAATTTTTAAGTAGCGGTATAAAATACGGAATCCCAACATGTATCTCTACCCAAGAACTGGAGTCGCATACTCACGAACGTCTAAGAAGTACTAAATACAAAGTCTGAAAGAAACATAAATCTGTTTATCTCGAATACAATGAGATGACAGTCAAAAGTAAGGATAGAGGAGACGCCGGGCCTGCGGACGCCTGCAAGCTACCTCGGTCTCTCTGGACTGGTAGTATGCTCCCGTGCTAAAACTGCTGCTGCTGCTGCTCAAAACCTGGACATGTGCAAGAATGCACAGAGTGTAGCATCAGCACAACCGACCCCATGTGCTGGCAAGTGTCTAGCCTAACCCCGGCGAAGTAGTGACGAGGCTAGACTGGACACCACATAAACCTGTGCAATTCTATATACATATACAGCGGAAAACGAAAGCACAAGACAAGTAAGTAATATGGGAGGGGGAAACATGCTGTGGGGAGATCACAATATTAATAGTGAGTCCGAACTAACGGTCTAAGGACAACTTGGAATTTACACCGGACAAGAATCAAACACCCAAATTAACACACTTGTATCAAAGGTTGTTGCGGCGTGCAACCCGATCCACAATGTCATTATTGCGGCATGCAACCCGACCCTCGAATATCACTATTGCGGCGTGCAACCCGACCCATATCATTTATCATTGTTGCAGCGTGCAACCCGACCCACATCGTTTATAAATGTTGCGGCGTGCAACCCGATCCTCAAATATCACTTTAGCAGTTGTTGCGGCGCACAACCCGAACCTCATATATCATTTACCTCTAGACCTCACCCAAACAAACATCACAAATAAGGATAAGGGAGTAAACATGTATTTGGAAGGTGTTTTACCCCGCGAAACCGAGCCAATGCTCCACAAGTTCTAAGATCACAATTTCTATCATAAGGTGTTTACAACACATAAAAGCGATCAATTAAGCACGGAAGTCATAACGATATCCAAACAATCCACATATAAGGACTCACGGTCATGCTAGACACCAACGTATAGGAACTCGTCACCATGCCTACACATCGTACTCGATCATTTAGCAATTAGCAAACAAGACTCAACTCCTATTCCCTCAAGCTAGGGTTAAACCAAACACTTATCTCAAAGCCTTGAATTCCACTCAATCCTCAACTATCGCTTTACCCCGCGATTCTCCTCCAACTCGCTCGAATCTAATCACAAGTTGCTCAATTACTTTAATAAACACTAAATGAATCAATTTGAATGCATAAAAATAAATTTCCTAAGTTTTTCCCAAAAAATTCCAAAATCGCCCCCGGGCCCACGTGGTCAAAACCCGAGGTTCGAACCAAAACCCGGTCACCCATTCTCCCACGAACTCAAATATATAATTTGTTTTGAAATCGGACCTCAAATTGAGATCCAAATCCCCAATTTTTCGAAAACCTAGGTTTTACCCAAAACCCCCATTTTTACCCATGAAAATCATCGATTTCAAGTGGAAAACATGTTAAATGATGTTAATGATTGAAAGAAACAAGTAAAAATCGACTTAAAATTGATTTGGGATGAAACTTGAAAATTGCCTAAGGGGAGGTATTTTGAAAGTGGGGTGAAACATGACTTGAAATTCGACTAAGTATGAAAAATGCTGAGTCTCTGATGTAGGAATTGCAAACTGGGGTTCGCAATTGCGAACCCCGACCTGCTAACTTGGGAGTTGCGAACAATTGTTCGCATTTGCGAACCATGGGCACAACTGGGGACTTCGCATTTGCGACCAGAAATGTCGCATTTGCGAAAGTCCAGCTGTCGCATTTGCGATAAAATGATCGCATTTGCGATCCCTGAGCAAAGTGACTGCCTTCGCATTTGCGAAGGATTCTTCGCATTTGCGAGCCAGGCTTCACAAATGCGAAGCCTGCAAGTCAGAAATACCAGAAAATTTTCAAAGTTAAAAATGCACTCTGACGCCTATCCAGAACTCACCCGAGCCCTCGGGGCTCCAATCCAAGTATGCACACAACCTCAAAAACGTCCTACGGACTTACTCGCGCGATCAAATCGCCGAAATAACATCATATACATTGAATTTAGCCTCAAAATTCATAATTTCTTCCAAGTTTTCGTAGAACATTAAATTTCCAATTTAAGTCCGAAACACGTCATTCGACGTCCGTTTTCAACCAAACTTCACAGAAAGCGCTTAAAACATATATAAAGACTTGTACCGGGCGCCCGAACCAAAATACGGGCCCGATACCGATGCGTTCTAATCAAATTTCATTTCAAATTCCCTTAGATATTTTCAGAAAACAATTTCACACAAAAGTTCTTTACTCGGGCTCTGGACCTCGGAATTCGATTCCGGGCATATGCCCGTGTCCCATATTTTTCTACGGACCCTCCTGGACCGTCAAATCACGGGTCCGGGTCCGTTTACCCAAAACGTTGACCGAAGTCAACTTTATTCATATTAATATCAAAACATCATTTTTCACACAGAATTCATATTTAGGCTCTCTGGCTACGCGCCCGGACTGTGCACGCAAATCGAGGCAACCCCAAATGAGGTCTTCGAGGCCTCGGAAGCACAGAAAGAGTAAGGAAACAAGTGATGACCCTTTGGATCGTCACATTATCCACCTCTAAAAAAACCGTTCGTCCTCGAACGGACAAAAGAAAGAAGTACCTGAGTCGGGAAATAGATGAGGATAGCGGCTCCGCATATCAGACTCAGACTCCCAGGTCGATGCCTCAGGAGGCTGACCTCTCCACTGAACACGCACTGAAGGAAAACTCTTCGACCTCAACCGTCGAACCTGCCGGTCTAGAATAGCCATCGGCTCCTCCTCATAAGACATATCCTTGTCCAACTGGACAGTGCTGAATCTAACACGTGGGCTGGATCGCAGCGATACCTCCGAAGCATGGATACATGAAAAACTGGATGCACGGCTGATAAGCTAGGCGGAAATGCAAGTCTATAAGCCACCTCTCCCACTCGATCAAGGATCTCAAATGGCTCAATGAACCTAGGGCTAAGCTTGCCCTTCTTCCCAAATCTCATCACGCCCTTCATATGCGACACCCGGAGCAATACCCGCTCACCAACCATGAAAGCTACATCTCGAACCTTACGATCTGCATAGCTCTTTTGCCTGGACTGAGATGAACGAAGCCTCTCCTGAATGATCTTGACCATATCCAAGGCCTCCTGAACCAAATCCGTACCTATCAACCGAACCTCTCCCGGCTCAAACCACCCAATCGGAGACCGACACCGCCTACCATATAAAGTCTCATAAGGAGCCATCTGGATGCTCGACTGGTAGCTGTTGTTGTAGGCAAACTCCGCTAAAGGCAAGAACTGATCCCACGAACCTCCAAAGTCAATAACACAAGCCCGGAGCATATCCTCCAAAATCTGAATAGTCCGCTCGGACTGGCCGTCCGTCTGGGGATGAAATGCTGTGCTCAACTCAACCCGTGTGCCCAACTCTCACTGAACTGCGCCCCAGAAATGCGAGGTAAACTGCGTACCCCGGTCCGAAATGATAGATACCGGAACACCATGAAGGCGAACAATCTCCCGGATATAAATCTCAGCTAATCTCTCGGACGAATAGGAGACTGCCATAGGAATAAAATGTGCTGACTTGGTCAGCCTATCAACAATGACTCAAACTGCATCGAACTTCTTCCGGGTCAACGGAAGTCCGGTAACAAAGTCCATAGTGATCCTCTCCCACTTCCACTCGGGAAGCTCAATCCTCTGAAACAAACCACCAGGCGTCTGATGCTCGTACTTAACCTGTTGAAAGTTTAAACAACGAGCCACATATGCAACAATATCCTTCTTCATCCTATGCCACCAATAATGCTGCTGCAAGTCCTGATACATCTTTGCGGCGCCCGGATGAATAGAGTACCGGGATGTCACGACACAAACTGGAGGGCCATGACTAGCACCCAGCCATACTTACCGAGCACCAA